AGGAGAATGTAATGTCTAACAAAGCACGAAAAATTAGAATTTCGAAATATTTATGAATTAAAAACTTAAGACACCAGGTAAGAGAATTTACAAATTTTTACTTTTCCATACAGTGTTTGCGAAACCGAGCCGCGGATTGCAAAAAAAGTTTAGAAGCATTTGTCTGAAAAATTTAATTGACGATTTCTCGCTTCCCAGTGGAGCTGTATCTTGTTAATTTGATGGATAAAATCTTCTCCGGGGTATCTTTGTCTCGTGAATCATGAAAACTCTCTAATGTTTAATACTCATCCCCAAATAATTGTGTATTCGAACTTCCATCTTTTTTTGCCCTGTTTGACCTAATGACCTTCAACCAAGACGGTGCCAGGAACCGCGTACTTCAGGTAGTCACGTCCCACTTGATACGCTTACATTGATAATTTTAAAATCATGAGTTTGGGACGCCTGTGATAAATACACTGACGATTCAGTGATGACTCGAGGGCAGTGTGAGCCACTTGAAGTGACATTTCCTTTCTCTGTCATCGGTGCATAGTCAAAGAGAAAAGTTTGGATGTGGTAGACAGGTATCAGATAACGCATTCTAAATGGCACGAATGACACACCAGTGATAACAACTTTATTTTTGTTGGCTTCAAAGCGCTGGTCAACACTGAGACCTTCGGTTGCTTGGCCTTTCTTATAAAATTACCAGAATTAGCTAGTGCCAACAAACAACAACACAAACTAACCTTTTTCCTCTGATATCAAAACATGGTGTCTAGTGGCGTACGGAGATAGCAGCAATGCAACGCTGGAAGAAGATAACCCACGCTGGTGAAATCTGGAATGGCATGGTTGACGATGTCTTTGGCGTGATCCTCAGGTTTGTTAAGCAAGTATAAATTAACGAAACCTCGAGTAATTCTATCAGAGGGTGCCTTATTCCCGCTTAACAAAGTCGAGTTGTTGGACCAATATTTTACTTGCTTGTAGCTTTCTTTCACTCCCCTTTCCTTTCTATAGTCCGGCAAGCGGTTGGCACAGAAATTTCGAGTGGCGAGATTCATGTCATGTTCACGTTTATTCCGAAACTTACTTACTTCCTAAACGGATAACCAGTGACTATATTTCCAAACGTTTTGAAGGGAAAACAAGGGGTTTAGTTAGCCTGACTACAGATGTTCATTACAGATGCCTTTTTAAAATTACAGTCATTAAGGCCTGTCCAAACGGGAAATGTTTGTCGACCAAACACCATCAAACATTGTTTGGTGACCAAACATTTTACCGTTTGGCCACCTTGTTTGGTGGCGTTGGATCGTGTTTGATCGTGTTTAGTCGTGTTTGAAAAAATTTGAAGGCCATCAAACATTCGATCAAACAACTTGAAACATTTCTTTTGTTCTCGTGTTTGATGGGCGATGTTTTGTTCGTTTGGACAGCCGTATCAAACATGTTTGGAGCGCGCATGCATCCCACGCTTGCTCAGTGGCTTGTATCCCTAGTTTGATCTGTGTGTGATCATTTAACTGTTTGGCCACTCACTTCAACATCAGCATGTTTGGTCATCAAACAATGTTTGATGATGTTTGGTCGCCAAACATTTACCGTTTGGACAGGCCGTTACATTCCTTTGTGGGAATGTCACACATATCGCGTGACTCACGGACTATATCACGCAATGCCTAGGAAAGGCTACAATATTATANCCCCCCCCCCCTGGTCCCGTTTGAGCAATGCTGATTTCAAGTATCACACACGCGGAAGCGTTCACATGCAGCGCAACTTATTGTTACAAATTCAGGATAGGTAAGTCTGCGAGAGCATCCGGTTTTTTCGGCTCTTGTTTCCTAGATTTTCGGAAGAGTCCCATTATTACTGGCACTGTAAGTGAAGTACATATAATGATATATCTTACAAGATGTTTTGGTGTGCAGTATCGCTATATATTTTTACGAGTTGTGCCATATTTTGACGAGCCCATAGAGCGAGTCAAATACAAACGACGAGTAAAAATATACAGCGATACTACACACCAAAACATCTAATAAGAGATTTATTATCCAACTACTGTAGTCAATAAATTTATCAATGAAAGAGGGAGAGTGTGACAGTTTTGCGTGCGCGCGCCGACCTGTACGGCAAACAGGTTTTCTACTGTACAATATTGCTGTATATTTGTACTGTTATTTGGACAGTATTCGCTGCAGTTGGATAATAAGTAACCAGATATACGAGGTTGCGTTTTCAGTTACAAAATGCGCGGCAATGATGAATGGTACGAAATGTTTCGTATATCAACAAGAACGACGGGCAAGGACAAGGATTTCCTTTCATCGAGAAAATCTGTTTTCATCGACTCAGAGTTGATAGACAGCTAAGTGCTCCTTGTAATGGAGCAAGTTCGTGTGCAGTGTGTCCACAGACCCTCTACACTCAAACCTGTACATAACGACCCTGTATATAGCGGTCACCCTGTGTATAACGGTCTCGGAACAGCTTCTCAAAAGTCGTCCCTTATGTTTACTGTTAAGTTCACCTGCATATAGCGGTCATCTGTATATGACAGACGCGGTCACCCTTTAGACTTCCTGAATCCACAATTTCATTATCTTTTACCCGTATATAACGGTCACGAAATTGGGTTACGATTAAAGAATAATGACAAGCTTTATTCATCAGCTCGTTAAATAGCAGCCACCAAGGCAGGGATCTCACAAAATTACAAATACAGGTACTATAAAACACAATTACTAGTCTAATACATGAACATGAAGAACTTTCTTTCACACTGAGTAAAGTTAATGACATACCACATGAAATCAAGCTTCGAGCTCCGAAATATCAGAAAACTATTACCGATTGTTTTTTCCTCTTGAAATCCATATTGTTACCTTAATAGCTTTTCCTACAAGGAAATTTAGATCCAAGTATACTGCACCTCTCTTAAAGTACACCACGGACATTTTGTGGGCCTTTTTTTATCGTGTTTATTGGGTTGCTGTTACTCGTTATTGTCAATAAAACGTAAATTGAGTGATTATTTCCACATAAAAAGGCTATTTATTGACTTCCAGGGGAGTTTAAAGGAAACCTGTGTACAGCGGTAACCTTGTACGTAACGGTCACCTGGCCATTTCCCAAGGGTGACCGTTATATACAGGTTTGACTTTATTTTGTCTTGAGTTCGTCGAGATGGCAAGCAAAAGTGCAAATGCAAGGGGGTGGCTATGGGGAAAGGGCGCTCTCTCGCGCACGAAGAAAAATAACTCGTAGCAAAAGAAAAAGAGCGTCCGTGGACCGTGTAGGTCGTGTAGGGCCATAGAAAAATTCAATGTAATGCTCGAGGGATTATCCGTTAGGAAGCTTAAGCTAAATTGGACTCCAGTTTTCAAGGTTCGCAATGAACGAGGCATATCGAAAGTGCTCACATAAGTCACAGCTTGCCTTCTTGAAAGTCGTTTTCCTGCAATTCATCAAATCAGGCCGGAGGGACTAGGGAAAGGAAAGGATGAGCCCTTGAAGAGGGTCTGTATGGAATTTAACTGATTACTGAGAATTGTTCATTGAAAATGTTTACTGTCACCTAAGATATGACGACCGATTTTGAACTTAAAGCTGAGATCTGCAAAAAATGTTTTGATGGCTGAGCAATGGGGCTGAAATTTTAACTGATAACCACCGGAGACCACGCACATATGACTGATAATTGAGATAGCAGCATCCCAATCCAGATCTTCATAGTAGGGTCTACTTAAAATGTAAAATACCAATGAGTTGTGAGCTACACGTACACTAACCACGAACCCCGTGTACGTCACTCAGAACAGTCTGTTTCTTCGTTCTACATGTAGTTGGACCTAGTCAGGCTCCATTAAGTTGGCCCCGAGGCAATCCTTATCGGCAGACAAGAAGCTCCTTCCATTGAATTGACGCGTGTTTTAACTGACAGCTGAGATCTGCGATCTGCAAAATTACGGTTAGCTAGGAAAGTCATGAAATAGACTCAAAATTTTGACTGGTGGACGAGAAATCGCCGAAAATTTGACTCGGGGTAATTGAGACTTCAGCACTGCCCTGCATCCACTTCTTGGCGTTTTGAAGCTGAAAGTATATCGCACTGAATTAAGAAGGATAGCCGGTTAATATTTTGAATCGAAAAAGAGACAACCTTTTACTGGCCTTTTTTTCTCGTGTCCTTGTATTCTTGCTGTTGTACATGCTGCTCCTTTGTACTTAGACTGCTTGCAGTCTGTTTTTTTCTCTCGAAATCAGGCAGGGTTTATGAGCCGAGACATTTCAGACGGCATGATGGGTGCGATCCCATCCCTCTTTCGGATCGTCCCATACCTCCCGTTTGCAATCGTGTTCACGAATAAAGACTCGTCTGACCCTTAGAGAAAAGACCGGCTGCCAGTAGTCTACCTTGCACGGGATCGGCAGGTTCACCGAGTTTTCGAGCAAAAGGGTCCAAATAAAGGGAAGTATTTGTTGCCAAAAATTCCCGGGATATTCGAACAGCTTAATGATTCACCGGATGTGTTTGAAATGTTAGAAATTTTTCTTGAATTAGGCACTTCACTGATGGGAAGAAAACCATATCTCAACTGAGACTGTGAAGTGAAGAAACATTGTCTCAGTTTTGCGAATATCCACTCTTTTAATTTTCTTACGTATAGGGTAAAGACGTTTTTCTCTTTGCTTTTTTTGGGGACTCTTGGTTTTGCGAAAGAAGAGCTCTCCATGTTATCAAATAACCATAGTGCAGTAATTATCCTGACCATTTGTGCATCAGCTGTAGATGAAACTACAGCTCTCAAACTACTAGATACGAAAACTTGTTCAAAAAGTAGCATTACTGTTTGTGTTCTTAGCCTGTTCGACCAGAACTGGTCAGGTCGCAACATCCAATACATGATTTATTTTTGACATGAAAGATATTCAGCGCACGGCCTAGCTTTTGATGTATTGTTTAAATGATTGAAATACATTAAGTATATATTTAACCGTGGGAAAAGACTGATAAAAATCCTGCGAAATTCCTTTCTTTTTTTGACACAGGCAAATACTAGTATTGGACGAAGTCATTCTGTTGATTTACGAACGGATAGAAAAAGATCCATCCGGCATAGCCGTGTAAAAGTAAGTAAATTCACCTTTACGTAATCTATAGCATGGAGGATGTAATGATTGTATCCTTTTAGGGTAAGGTAGGGGAAAAATTCCTCAGTTTTTAGTCTTCTTATCTCTGTTCGAAGCCACGAAGTGTTTTCTTAACCCCAAAAGACGTGAGTCGTTTACCATTTACCCAAAAATTCGGTCAGAATGTAAATGGTGAGACAATTTTGGCCGACCGGAAAATTTTGAAAAAAAAAAAAAAGGAACGTCTGGAAGAGTAGTCGCAAATTTCTAACCGAAATATCCGGATGGAAAATGTGCTTACATTTGCAATTCTTCATCAGTTCTTGTCTCCACGCGAATTTTGATCGGCGCACAGCTCTCCTTCAACATGTTACGAATGTACGTGTGCAAGTTGCCATGTACCAAATGAATGCCAAAGCCCCGGGGCCAAAGCCTACTTCGGCGCTAGAATCGATTTTCTTCCTAAACGGTTTCCTGTGGGGATTTTAGCTGGGGCTGCCAACTCTTGTGCAAGTACTTTGAAAGTGCTATAGTCATTCGAAAGTCGTCATTTGAATAGGACGGCACCACAACCTCATAAAAACCTGAAATTCTTTTCAGATTTCTCTTCGTGAAAGCTAAAGTGGCTGATATTAAGTAGAATTCTCTATTATCGTCGTGACGGAGCGGAGAAGTAATTCCACGTCATTTGAAGCATCAACAATCCGGCGCGTTCAACATAACCTCTCGGCCGCCATTGTGGAATTATCGTCCTTGGCTTTCTCGGTAAACTGAGGGCTGTCGAGTAAATGGTCAATGGCCAATCTGAACGGAACTTAACCATTAGGCATTTTTGTCTACAATTTACACAAACCGTTAACAAACGGGTTTCTCGGTGTAAATGGAAAACAACCCTGGTTTTCGTCACTCTAGATGGCTATGCATACCAAAAATCCTCGCATAAGTACAGCAATGAGAATTATTTAGACCGCAGGCCTTACAGGACGGACCAAAAAACATCTGAAACCGCGGAGGACGATAAAACCGTTTGAATTGCTCATGTGCACTATAGAGCTTGTGGTATGCTGCCAAACATAGCATTCGCTATGCTTTGGCTAATGTATGCGAGACTTCGTGACAATAGCCAAGAAATATACAGGCGAACAAACCGTAGCTTAAAGTGCACCTAACCCCAAAATTTTTTTTTCGCTAAAACAAATCTAAACTTTATTTGAAGCATTTGGGCGAAGAAAATTTTGAATTTGGTTGAATCTTCGATTTTCTATGCCCTTTCAAAGTCGCGATTAAGTGTTTCACGACCGCGTTTTAGGGAGTCTGGGGCGGCGGTTGCTGATGACGTCTACCCAGGAACGAAACACAATGGAGCCTCAATCAGCTCTCTGTATTTGCTCGAGAAAATGGAAAACAAAACTAATCGTTCCAATATAGTTTGGGACTAAAACGTCCAAGCTTTGTTTCAGAATCATTTCTTTTTCATCACTGGAGTCAGAGTTAAATTTCGGTTCGGAAGACTCCGAAATAAACTACGATCGAGCTCGTTCGACAACTGTAACTCAACGCTTAGAGCTTTGAGAGCAATTTGCAATGTTTCAAGCGACGACGGGGAAGACTTCGTTCTTTGCGGACGAGCCGCTTTTATATTAGGAATGGAAAGCTGGATACGAAGTGGAGGAGCACACAAACGAAAAGCAGGAAAGAAAACTCAAGGACTTCTTTGGATGGTAATTTCGTCACCTAAGCACAAGATTTCGACGCGTGTTTATAGCCCTTTTACATTTCTCCTTAGCGAGAATTTATTTTGTCAAGGTATGGTTGTTCTGTTAAATCCAGTTTGTGTTTTACTTTCTGGAATGCTTCATGTTTATAAGAGAGGCGTAGGTGTTGCAGTTTTCGAGACTTGATGACCTCCAAAACTTGGTTCTTAGCGCCAGGACCATCTACACAAACGAAGGCAAGTGTACCAATAGCATTTCCTCTTATTTCTATCCGAAGGAAAACACCTCAGAACCGGCGTCTAGATTTGATCGCCTTTATCCGTTGAAACGCAAGAGGGGGCGGGGTGAGGGGGGAGGGGGGATCCCGACACTTTTGTCACAGGTTGTCTATTGCGCTATCACAGCAGCAGCTTCCTCGAGGACATGAAGCGGGATCAAAGTAAAGTGGAGAGTAGCAACTACACCTAAATCTGCGAAGTGAACAATAAAAAGTGCTGACTTTCGTCGAAACAAAAGGGTAAATAGAATCCTAATTCAATTGCTGTTATAATCAATTTTATAATTACGATACCGCAAAATTCCGAAAGTAACAATCGCCAAAACTAGCGATTCTCCCTCCAACATAACGAAAAACAGTGACATCTCATTAATCCGGAAAGTAGCTGACTCCGAAAGTAGACTCCCTGAAAGTAGCGAGCCCACTCCAATCCTCCTGAAAATAGCGATAGCATAATTCAACGGTATATTTATTTTTCTGATCAACAGTCAATTGAAACTAGTGAAAATTTCTGAGGTAACTCGTATCGCTTATGTACCTTCGTACATTCGTGATGTGTTTACAGCCCACACTCCATCACGTCAACTACGCTCACCATCCAAGCATCATAGTTTTAACTCCGTCCAGGGGCGGAGCAGAAGACTCCTGAAATTTTCGTATATGCATCTCCACAGCGGTGGAGTTGCACTTAGATGTAAAGAGGTGGCCTAGTTTTTCTCGCAAGATAGCACAACCAGACCTTTGGGTTTTGGACGGTATGAGTTGAAGAATACCGCTTCACTATGATATCACCCACCTTGAATAAGACATTTCATCGGCTGGATCTTCTGAGATTTCGCCATCAAGTAGTTGAGTCGACTAACCAAAGATGCAATTGATGACGAATTCTCGTTCAAAGAGCCATCTTTAACGAATTGAAAACCGACTAAAATACAAAATAGCGGAACGCGATAAAATACGGGTGAACTCTCTGAAAGTAGACAAGGGAAAAGCACCTGATCTCCAAAGATTACAGAAGAAATAAGTTATAACCGTCACTAGAGCACATTCTCTGATGTCCATTTTCTGCAATCTTAATTGTTCTAAATCTAACGAATGTTGCATGTTACCAGGAGCCATAATCGGGGACGGAGACCGTAAGCGCGCGCCATTTCTAGTATTGGGGTTGTCCCCATGATATGGTACAATAATTCTATTTTTAGAACAAATTGCGCCATCGCCTGCAGCACACGCGCGTACATGCTGCGAGGATTTTTGCGGATGTCGCGCGGGGGAAATGGCG